CTTATTTTAGTAATAATTTTTAATTTTTATCTTATTTTGATAAAAAAAAAAACCTCAATATGATCATAACAAATAAAGTAGATAAAAATGAATTTATCAGATTTTCACAAGTAGAGCAAATACAATATAATATATCTTAGATAAATTCAATAATAATAAACTCAAGTAGCTCAAAAATTTTATTATAAAATTAGCACGCGATTTTATTGACTAAAAAAAAAGGTATAGTTGCAAAAGACACCTCAACGCTTAAGTTAATATTTACAGCAACATAGTAACTCACTTACCTCCTAGTAGAATATGTTTCATATAGTAGACCTACATGGAGTGTCAATTGACATAATAGTCAAAGATTTTAGTGGCCTTATGATTATGGAACTATCTTATAGGTATGATCTTATAACTGTTGTTGTGACTCATGGATATGATCTCATGTGATGAATGTATAAAATACTAGATGAACAAACATGAATGCTTATTGAGATGTAAGTTGAGAATTGACCCAATATCCTATAGGGCCATGAAGCGACCTTAGGGATTAGGCCAAAGTAAATTGCCAAGATCAATAGTACCCTTAGCTTAGTTTATTGTGTAACGATGAGCTAAGATATACTTGATCTAGGTAGAATGCATCAAAATAGTGATGTGCTAAGTTTCGTATGAGAATGTCCATATTTCCATTTCTACTAGTTGAGGACAAAAATTGCCTTAGAAATTGCAATTGTCTATGGTGCATTTGGAGTTTAAAATTGATTATGATACACTTGAGGTTTTACAATATTCACATTAGTAAAGTAATGTGTTAAACTAATTTTTATCTATTGTGGACCTTAGTTGGAGTGGTTTTTCTAATGATAACTTCTTTAGTTTACCTCAACTTGTCATCTTGTTCAAACATTTAACATTCTTTCATTTGCAAATGAGGACTATCCCTTGAGGCTATGATATAGTCAAGACTACTATATGCTATACAGAATTTTTAAATTTGTACAAATGTTTCTTAACTTAATCTCTTGCAGGTAAAAGTGAGGTCTGTAAAACTTTCCTAATAAAACATGTTTTTTAGAATTTGTAAACCATAAGTGCAATTTCACAACTAAGGTTAAGAATGCTTTAACTAGTGTTTGAGGGTGTTGTATACTTCGATCCTTCACACCTAGGCTTGCAAGGATGAGAATGTTTTGTGATGATTCATTTTAACTTTGGGCATTAGCTATAAGAAATAATTAACCTTGGCTATAATCATTGTGGTCTTACAATGCCGTGTTCTTCATATGAATTTAGTTATAGTTGTGACATTTTTATACTAAACTGCACAATATACAAATAAATCAATGTAAAATTCAAATAAAATAAAGTTCAAACATCAATATATGAGCTGTAAAAAAGAATCTATTTACAAACTTATCATTTTTCACAAATAAGGCCAATATGATCTAGTATAGTTTTTATAAGCCTTAGATCAATAAGCCTAAATGGTCTAAAGAATGACATTACTTACTTCACATACTAGAATGGTGATTAATCCCAAAGGAGAGTGATACTAGCAAGTATACTAAGTCATCAAGTAATAAAGTAAAATAGAGGGTTGTCGTACCCACATGGATAATTAAAATACTGATTCTAGTTAATTAGATATAGGTTGAATAGTTAAAATGAGATGATATCAAAAGGAATAAAGGATAAAGTGATAAAATAATGTAAAAGTGATATAAGAGTTGATGGAGTTAAATGTCAGGGTAATTTACTTCAATTACGTGTTAAAAAAATGCAACATGAACATTAAAATGCCTTGTCTAAATTCAACTGAGTGGTGATATGAACATCATGCCATTAAAGTCTTTCTCAAGATCATCTAATGTCACTTAAGTAAAGTCAAGCACTTAATCTCTTAGCATACTTAAGTCTACAAGTAATTCTCAAACTCTTAAATATCACATAAATCATGTTTGTCTATCTCTAAGCATAGGCATGACTCTTACTCCTTTTCTCAAATTTGTTAAAAAAAAAAAACACTAAATCCTAAATTACTGATCAAGTAATTCAAGATAAATAAACTCAAATATAATGTTCACTATCAAATGAGAACAAAATATAAATTCATTCATATTAACATAATATCAAACACATATCCTCCATATATCACCCTTGACAAAGAGTTTAGTTACAAGTCATGAAAAATGACATAAAATGAACAAAAATGAAAGAAAGATAAGAAGTCATAAACAAAGAAAAATACTCCCTTCTTGGGAGATTACTACATAGAATTACCCTTTTGCTATTGAATTGTAGAGAATTTTTTGGAAACTTCAGCTTGTCATCTCCAAGAATATTCAGAATATTTGGATTGAGTGTGATAGCAAGTAGGTGATTTCCTTTATTTTGTATAATAAATAGAATTAGGATGCTTCATAGGAGATCAAATTTATTAGATTTTTTCATATTTTAAGATAAGTTAATCAATATATTGACTGTTTAGCTAAATTAAGTACTGATATGGGACTATCGTGCATTTATTTTGATAAGGAACCCCCTTCCTTAGAACCTTTGTTAAGGTTGGATTCTCTTAACTTATTGTGACTTAGGTTGTTTGGTTAAGGATCCTTTATTTTATTTTTTTTGGGTTTTTTAACCTTATTTATTAGAAAAAAAAAATTCACTCAACTTTAAAAAAAAATATTGCTAAAATAAACTAAAAGCTAAACAAGAGTTAATTTTTTTTGTCCATGTATATAATAGCAGATGAATTTAAGTTAGCTATATATGCATCCAAAATTGAAATTACTTAGTTCAACTCATAATTCATCTTATCATTTGATCATTATAGTATCACATTTAAAAATTGAGTTTGTCTAATCATCAAACAAAAATAAGTTTATTTTAAACAAATTACTAAGATTTTGTCTATAAAAATATAATTTTTTAATATAATAGTAACTTTTTTATTAATCTTCTTAACTAAAAAAGTTTACTTCATAATATAAATTTGACTTATCTTCCAAAAATGATCTAACATTTTTTCTGGGGCAGATACATACGTCAATTAGGTCCAAACTGATAAACTGATGCATCCACCAACTTTCATCTCTTTCCACAAAACGCGTTCGCAAATGCCTTTATAAAATGTTAAGAGCCTCTGAATTGGCCTAACATCGACATCACCAGTCACGGGGTTGAGTGCATAAATTATTTATACAAAAACTACTATATATGCTAACAATTTCTAACACCAAACTTTAACTATTAATTAAATACCCCTTTAAATTATATAAGTGCCGAAATATGCGAAGTTTTTAGCGTATCCCATATATGACAATTTTCTTATTAATATTTTCCCCACATATGAGCATATCCCATGTATTTATTACAAATTGATCGATGAATAAATGTTTATTTAGAACTTTTGGAGGCATGGATAGCTTTACATTAAAGTTCTGCGTTAAGCTTTTATTTGTTTAATTAATTTTAAACGTGATCATGAATGATACATAAATAATTATTTTAAAAATGATACATAAATAATTATTTTAAGTACTACTTATTTGCAAATGATATAATTTTAACTGAAAATATTATCTTTACTATATATCATAAATTATTTTCGTGGATTAGTTTGCATAATTCCTTAATTTTTTTATTTTCTTATTATTTTTAATTTGTTTCTTTGTTTAATTAAAATTATTAGTACAAATAAAAATAATGTTTTATGGACATGTGAATATACATCCCACTATAAAATATACTAAAAAAGATGTTTTCTTTTGTCTTTATTTCTCCACTTTATACCTAAAATCTCATCATTCCAACGTGTTAAATTATGAGATTTTAGGTTATAATTATTTTAAATAAATAAAGAACCATAAGAGATATTATAAAACTATAAAAGAAAACTAAAGAATTAAAAAATTAATCTAAGATATTCTAAATCATTTGAAGATAAATCAAGATAATATTTTTTTTATGTGTTATAATTCTTAGCTTCAGTTTATTACAACTGAACATGTGTGTGTGCGCGCGCCCAACAAGAATCTAGCAGAATTAACTAAAAGGCTACAAGGATCAGGCAAAACTAATCAGAAACAACGGAAATTTCGCAAGAGCAATGAAGATCAAGAGGAAGTGATCGCAGACACCAGGAACAAGCAAAATTAATTAAAAAAGCAATGGGAATTGTGAAAAACTTATAGGAGATAATGAAAATGAGGATAAAGGGTAGTTGATTACGGGTAACAAAGATCAACCACAGACTATTAGAGGTAACAGGGATCAAGCAAAAATGATACAAGAAAACGAGCATGTGTGTGAACAATGTACTGTTAGAAGAAAACTCAAACATCCACAAACAACAACATTGTTGATGCTGGTGGATCAATTTTCTTTTCTGATTTTCAAACTAAGGTGTCTATATAGCTTCATAAAAGATTGCCCCTTATTTATAATACCAATGCTAATCCAATAAAGAAACAAATCTGATATAATAAGGAAATAAGAAAAGATCTTGAAAAATAATTATGAAATTTTAAAGCACTTTAAGATAAAGATGCTAGTAGATATTTTTCTATAATTTAATATTTGTATACAATTTATTTATAAATGAATTTATTTTAAGACACTCGTTTACCCTTAAATGAAAAGCTTTTTAAACGATCAATCCTCATTTCTTTAAAATTCAATAATTGAATATTTGCATTTAATATATATTGAATCACGAAATGACTGTTTTCATGATTTGTTTAGTCAAATGCTCTTTTTTTATTTTCACAAAATTGAAGTAGTCGTTGACTACGGGTGTTAGTATGGACATTTAGACTAGATACGCAGTTACGTACACAAAAGGCTTCTTCAACACGCAGTTTCGGTCAGGCTGCCCGAATTCGCGGCGGGCAGGTCCAAACTACGATGCGGGTTCAACATGGATGCTTATTATTATTCTTAATTTTCCGATGAAAGAAGCAAAAAGTGAGGCTCACTAGGCACCTCCCCCTGTAGTGGGAGAGGAAATGGGTCAGAGGCTGAGTTGCAGAATTGTGGAGAATGAGAACAATGCTCTGTTTGCAGCAATTGCTAGTGGTGAGTTGGAGGTGGTTGAGGCCTTGTTGGAGAATGATGCCACCCTTTTGGAACACACCACTTCTCACGCTACCCTCTCTCCGCTGCATGTAGCAGCTGTCAATGGTCGAATCCAGGTTCTTTTTCTGTTTCTTCTTCTTCCTTCTTCTCCTCTCTCTCTCTCTCTCTCTCTCTCATGCTTGTTTTCTTCGACTTCGTTAGGTGCTTTCCATGTTGTTGGACCGGAATGTGAAAGCGGATGTCCTGAATCGCTACAAACAGGTAAGCTTTTCCCTTTTTAAATTCTTCACTTCCTGGGCATCTAATAAACGAGTAGAATTTACACGATGTTTTATAAGTATATTTTATGCAGCTCTTTAATCATAATTAGAGTTTATTCGTGCTAATTTGCACAACAATGGTTAGTTTTCAAAGTTAGGACAAAGCTTTGACGCGGTACTGTAGATTTTTGGATGTTATTCGTCGATCACAATCGGAGGTTCACCTCCATTATATATATATATAGCTTGTGCACTTGGCTGGCTGTTTTACTGATTCTTGTTTCTCTCTCTTTGTGTGTGTAGACACCGTTAATGTTGGCTGTGATGCATGGAAAGATTAGTTGCGTGGAAAAGCTTATTCAAGCTGGAGCTAATGTATTTTATGCTTTGTTCTATCTGAATTTAGGCCATGTTTGGATTTTCTATGCACAAAAGCATTTTCAGTGTCAAAAGAAAAAAATTCAAAACTTTGTTGAATTGGTGGAGAATGGTTGGGTTGATCATAGGGGAATGATAATGGCATTGGCTTGTAATGTTTCAGATATTGATGTTTGATTCTTTACGTGGAAGGACCTGCTTGCATTATGCTGCTTATTATGGCCATATAGATTGCCTTAAGGCTATTCTTTCAGCTGCTCATTCAGCACCTGTTGCTCATTCTTGGTTAGATTCTCTTTCTTTCATATGCTCGCAAATATGTATGCAAGCAGAGACAGATATGGTTGTTACTAATTCCACATTTTCAATGTGATTGGCAGGGGATTTGCTAGATTTGTAAATATAAGAGATGGAAATGGTGCCACCCCACTGCACCTTGCTGCTCGTCAAAGACGGCCTGAATGTCTTCATTCCCTTTTAGACAATGGGGCTCTTGTTTGTGCTTCAACTGGTGGATATGGGTAATTGTCTTAGGCGTTAGTCTGTCTTAGATGATGAATATAGTTGACTTTTTCCATTAGGATTGATCAAGGTACCTTATGCAGTTTCCGTGGGAGCACCCCACTTCATCTGGCTGCCCGTGGTGGATCGGTAGACTGTGTCCGCATGTTGCTTGCTTGGGGAGCAGAAAGGCTTCAATTAGATTCCTCGGGGTTAGTAAATCAATGTTCAACTCTTTCTGAAACCAGCTTAATAATGTAAATTACTGGTTCAAGATCCATTGCTGTATTTTAATTAGCATTAAGTACTAGGAATATCCATGATTAACAGTTTGTGTATATACTTTTTAAATACAATTTAATTTATTGATTAAGAAATTACTGTTAGCATCTCCATTTGGGAGTTCATGCTTTAAAACTGAACTTCATAAGATGAAGAAGTGGACAAAGAAATGAAAAACTTGACTGTATGTATCCTTTAGAGACTGTTTGGGCTAGTAGTGCTTAATATCCATATAATGCTCGTACATGCAAAGTTAGTACAGTAATAACTAGGAAAATAACACTTGCTGACGGTGACAGGTCTAGCTGAATAGTTTACATGGTTATGGTACTAATAGGCCACGTAAGGAGCTTAGCTTTTCGTGTGACGGTATGTGATGTGGAGTCTAGACATATTTGTGTTTAGACAATGTAAGAAAAAGGAGACTGCAACAGTAGATGTAGCATGCATTAATAGATATTAGATACAGCATAATTTGAATTTTATTTGTGAAATCTCCTTAATTGATTTAGGTCTATTTCCTCTTTTATGATCATATCAGTTTCATGATTTAGGATTTGTTTCCTTTTATCAGATAAGATAATATCATTTAGGAATCTTATCATGATTTAGGATTTAGGGAAGCTCAAAGTTTGTGTTGTGTGGGTAGAGGCAGTCAGCACTCAGAAGAAAAATGTGGGGGAAACAGTTTACCACGCATAAGCAATGAAATAGTATGAGAAGCAGGTGATACAGAGCTTGTGCTGTGTGGGCTAAGAGGTAGAAGGTGGAGAAATTGAAAAGTAAGGTTCCTATTGATTAATATTTGGTATGGGTATCACTGGAAAGTAAGAATTGGCTGTTTCCCTCCTAAATTGCAACAAGAAATAATTAAAACAGGTATTCTCTTAGGGTATTTCCACTCTGAGTTGCACACAACCCGACCTATTTTTTTTGCATGACCTGCTAGCACAAAGAATGCTGTGATTTATGTCAGAATTTGGAACTGCGAATGCAAGTCCAGTGTGATTACTGAAACACAGGTTGCAATTCAACCTCATTTCCACTTTGTAGTGTGATTTCCATTGCTGGGAGTGTGACTTGTGTGGAATTGCATGCATCATATCGCACATTGTCCTATACTAACCACACTGCATATCATTATCATGATTTAGGAATTGTATCCTTTTATTAGCTATAAGATCATATCATTAGATTTCTTTCCTTTTTATTAATTGTCTTTAAAAGGGACTGGTAGTATTCAATAATGTACGAGCAATCATTTCCAATTAGTTATCTTGAGAGGCTCTATCAAGGATGATTCTGTTTCCCTAAATTATTCCCTATCAGAAAAAGGATTCATCCACATCTAGATCTGTGACTAGGTTCTATGCAAAGCTCATGCAGTATGATATTCACATTTATTAGTTATTAATTATGAATATTTGTTTAGTAAACACTTCTTTTTTTCTTCTCTATTGATTTGTATACTGAATAGAGACTATCTTCTTCAAACCTTTTCCTTTGCATAATTCTTAAAATTTCTTTGGTTTCCTGATAAACAAAAGCAGCATGGTTAAGATTTGGTTTAAAATATTGTCAAGTGATTCTTGGCAGGAGAATACCATTCACGGTTGCTCTTAAGCACAAGCATAGGGCGTGTGCTGCCCTGCTTGATCCTTCATCACCAGCACCACTTGTTTGGCCGTCTCTGTTGAAGTTTATTGGTGAACTCAATCAGGAAGCGAAGGCTTTACTGGAGAAGGCCTTGCTAGAAGCTAACAAGGAAAGAGAAAAGACACTACTAAAGGAAGGTGACACAGCCCCATCTCCACTACATTCTGAAACCAGAAATGATGATATTGTCTCTGACTCTGAGGTACAACATCTTCTTTCTCTGACTGCTTAAGGCCTCTTAAATTTTGACTTGATACTTGGTTTGGTTAATATGTAATTTGCTGCAGGCCTATCATCCTCAAGCATAAAATATTTTAGTTGGAAGTTTATTGCATTCTGATTTGACAGCATCTAATTATCCAGGCATAAGGGAAGGATTTTCTGGTATTGACTAGTGATAAGGAAAACACCCAATTATGATATTGGAAAACCCAGAATCAAGATCAAAATAAAAGAGTCATGCATGAGTGAACCTAAGAATAGCCACTAGGGCTCTGTCATAGATTCAAGTGGCACATATTTGAGTCAGCTGGGCGAATAACAAGTATCAAGAGTACAAAAGTTACCAGTAAACTAAAATTTAGTTAACAATCAAAGAGTGCAAAGATTATATTGGTTTTGTAGATATATAGTACTGCCCAATTTCATTTGTCCGGAAGAAAATTGTCTAGCGTTTTCCCTAAAATTATAACTTACTTATTTTCTGGTTAATTTCCTCATATAGGACAGCAATGTGGAGTTGTGTTGCATATGCTTTGATCAAGTGTGCACAATTGAGGTCAGACCGTGTGGTCATCAAATGTGTGCTCATTGCACCTTAGCACTATGCTGTCTCAAGAAGCCTGATCTTGCAACTACTTGTGCCACTGCACCAGTTTGCCCATTTTGCCGAGGTGCCATTCTTGAATTAATTGTTCCCAAGATCAAGACTATCTGTGATACAGAAGTGGAGTCCACCCCAACAAAACCAAGAAGATCTAGAAAATCAAATTTCAGTGAAGGGAGTAGCAGTTTTAAGAGCTTGTCAGCCATGGGCTCATTTGGTAGGATTGCTGGCCGCAATTCAGGAAAGATTGATGATGCCGAAAAGCAATGAGGGGTTTGCCTAGCCCTGGTAATAGCTCATTGTTTCTTTACTTCCAGGACAGCAGCTGACTGCTATGACATATGAATGGTGATTCTAATCTTGCTCTGGAAAAGCTAGCTACAACAGTATGTTATTTGAATTCATTTTTTCGCACAAGATCATGCAGATAATAGGTGAACTAGATTGTCAAATGGTCTGTTAGAGGTTTTGTAATTCAATTGTCTGTTGGTTGGAATTCTGGTGGACATTTGTGTTTTTATTTCACCAAGTATAGTATTCCCGGGGGGAAAAAAGAAGAAGAAAATCAGGTATAGTATCCATGCGATGAAGGTAGTATTCCTTGTTGGTTGACTATACGATTAGCGTATATGAATGTACTAATAGACACGAGGTGTATTCATTAATCACCCTTGTGGGGTTATGGAAAGATTTCATCTGAATTAAATTTGGATGTTCAATTCATATAGGTGTCCCACTTAGGCTTCTTTTTCACCCAAGCACTGAACGCATGATTTAAAGTTGCTTGGATTTTACTCGGCTCTGTCGTTTTGACTTTTCTTTTTCTCTGGATTTTCATACTCAACCTTTTCTATTTTAGGCCGTGATTCTTATGCAGCCTGAAACATGCCATTGTTTTTTTTCAAATAAACTTCTTTGGTTCTTCAGACACTTCAAGCTGTTAGTTTCTTTGTACTTTTAATCTAATTGCCGTGGCTACCATATGTTAAACGGAGTATAAAACAGAATATCCCAATTCCTTGAAAATTAATGGCCAAACATGAGAGAAAAATGGGGATCATGAACAACTAAGAACACCAAGATACCTGCTCGTAATATTAAAGAAATTAATAACAGAGGCGCATCATTTATTGACTTATCTGCATAAAGAACCGAAAATTATCGGTGCCCCATATCCAGTGTTTTGATCTAATGATCTATTTGGCTCTCTTCTACCATCTTCTCTCAGTGAAGTTGAACTTTGAGCAACTTGGCCACCAACAAATAGCGAGTTTGACGTATGAACCGGGGAAAAATCATTAGGTCCATAAATGGTAGTTGCAGCTCTTCTCTCTGCCACAAGATAGTGACCAAGAGAGGGAGCATCATTCACACTCACTGCATCAGTAGTTAGCTTTGAGCAAAGTGAAAACAACCAAGGCCTTAGCTTATGATTCTTTTTGTTGTCCTTTGACGGTTCCACCATTCTTCCCCTGGTTGATCTCCTTGAGAGTTCTAGGAAGCTAGAAATACCAATGAGTCTGCCAAGCGTGATGCTCTTGTCACGGAAGAATGATCCAGTGGACTAAACCAAGCCATATGATGTTAGCAAAATGACTCATGAAAACTGCGATGAACATGCATAATCTTATCTAACTTTTCAATTGAAATTAATTTTGTGCATTTATTATATTACAAAGTTTAAACATGCTTCTGATCCCTAAATTTTCATGAAATTTTAACCCCCAATTTTGATCTTAACTTTTTTAGAGTTAGCACCTTTAGATTTTAGTGATTTTTAAATGTGATGTGACTAATTAAAAGACTGTTATATATTGATTATTTGTGTGGCTACGCTAATAAGACCGACCGAAACACCTAACTTAGTAACTTGCATATTAGAAGAACTAAAAAATCAAAATATGTAATATTATGAAAATTACAAACATATTTAAACCTATTAGAAATTTAGAATCACAAAAAGAATACAGAGAAAACGTGCGGTCTCATGAAATGTTATGTATTTGATTTGCATTTTTCATATGATTTCTCCTTTCTCGAACCTTTGGCCTGTTTTCTACTCATCAAAAATAATTTTCAAACCATTTTAGTGGAAGACAAATTTGAACCAAGCATGATTTCAGTTTAGTTGTGTATGTACCAAAAAAGAAAAATGACAAACTAAACCAAAATCAATTCCATCTTCTCTCAAAGAACAATGTGTGCTGGGCCATGCTCTGGACCCCCTTGGGAACCAAGCTGCAACGGAAACACCAAATGAGATTGAGAATCCATAAGAGAGCGACAGGAAGATAGATTTGCTTTATGGGTGTGTTTGTTACATGAGGTTTCCTTTTTCTATTTAGTTATTTCTTGCACATATAAAAGTTAAGAAGCCTCGTCTTCGTGATTGAAATGATCACAAAGTACTTAGTCAAAAGCAACGGTTCAACTAGTTGGAAAGGGTAAAGTGGATACCTTCGTTTTTCTTTTCTTTTCTTTTTTCCATTATCACTATTTTTATCATAAAAAACATATTGAAACATATATAAGGCACGCCCTGCCAGGGTTTTGAGGTTACCGACCAATAATAACAAAAAACATGAGAAGTGAAACATTGTCGCACTTAATAACCATGGTACGTCTAATACCAAGCTAGCTTTGAGCTATAACTACCAAGATTTTTAAGCTCGTTAAGTATCTGGAAATTCAAATAGTAAGCTCATAAGAGTTTAGTTTATATAAAAATAATATTTAAGAAGCAATAATAAAGTTAGTCCAATCATATAACATTAATGTGATTTGATGTTGTGGTGTTTCACAACTTGTGGAGAGGGAAAAAAATTGTACCCTAATTTCAAATGGTGTAATCTTGACAAAAAAAATATATGTTTTTTCTTTATTTTGTTAAATTTGTAAAATTGGATGTAAACTCATGAATTTACGTGACTTTACCTAAAAACGAGTTTCCATATATGATTTGACACGATTTTTTTTATCACAGATCATAAATTCTTACGAGTTTACTAGTTAAACACAAGTTTAATAAGAATGGTATACCATATGCCACAAAAAAAGCCAAATCAAAATAGACGCAGTATTTGAACAACACTTTCTAAGATTATGATGAATGTAAGAAAGAAAATTAATTACCTCTGTGTCAAGAACTGAGGAAGAATCATCAGTTGAAGGAGTGGGAGATGCTGTGAGCACAGTGCTGAAGGAGATTGATCCAGAGAAATCACCATTCCTTACCAACCCAATTCTTGCATTCAATAATCTCAGCCCCAAAGGCCACCCTTCTTCCTGCTTCAACCCCAAAACCCGCCCAAAGGGTACATAAAAATGCAGAATACAAAAGTTGTGTGTGTGTGTGAGAGAGAGAGAGAGAGAGAGAGAGGAAGATGATACCTGTAGAGCCATTATCACTGTGCTGGAAGCGAATTGGATACGTTGGAGCGGAATAAATAATGTGGAAAGAAATAGTGGGAAGAAGAGTCCAAAGCAGTCACTTCAGAACAAAAAATATATGAAAAAAGAAAAGAAAAAAGTGTGATTCTCTGATTGCATCCTCTGACCAACGTAACACAAAAAGGGTAGAATTAAAGAAAAGCAGAAGAAGGAACAAAGCAGAGGAATTGGCATAGGCGTATACATATATATATATATATATAGGTACAAAATGTGAGCATGGTATAATGGATATGGACGTAACAGCTTTTTGAATGCGTTGTCTCTGAAAGTCAAAAATGAGACAAAGAAGAGAGTGACTTGTTACCATCTTTCTCTGTCAGGTTTAGGAGACACAACAGATGGTAGCAGCAGCGTGCAAGTGGGAATAATTTTTGTACCACTCGCACGCAGTGCAGTAGAGTGGCTCACAACTCTCCAACCTCACCCCTCTTTCACAAGGGTTATTATTTTGGAATAGAGTAAATCATTATTTGTTTTTACTCTCGACTGATCAAATTATTATAAATTTATTTTTTTTTGTAAAAATTATAATAATTAGTTATTCTTAGTAATGTAATTATAAATAGTTAGATAAAAATATAAAAATATTTACATTATGAATGTATTTCACTTAACTTTTTAAATTATATTATCTATCTCTCTTATTTTCAAAAATATATATTCTAATTTTTTGATAAAATTATAAATGAATTTTTACTGATGATGAATTATAAAAGTGTACCACTATAGTATTTTGTCTTGCTTTATAATATTTTTATTTGAATGTTTTATAAGTTTTAAATATATTAATTCTTATTTTTCATGTATTTTTTATTTACTTATTAAAAATATGTTAATGTAATAATATTTATGTGATTTATGAAAAAAAATTGCTAGTTAAACTTTTCCTTAAAAAATGATTCAAATGACCGCGGAAAGAGAGAGATTTGGAGGGGGGGAGAGAGAAGGACACAAAGATGGAATTATTTTTATTTTAATTAATCTTTTTATATAATATAAAAATATAAGTATTAAAATAATATTTTTAAAAATATATAATAAATATTATATTTCTTAATTTTTTTATATTTATCCAAATAATTGAAATAAAATTTATTTCTTTTATTGTTTTTATCCATTGAAATAGTACACCTTTTTTTGTCTTATTTTTATTATAGCTTTAATTTTTTATATTTTTCCTCCTTATGCTATGGTGAACATAAGTGTTGGCATGATGAAAAAGAAAACACTTGAGAATGGACTATTGTTAAGAATGGAAATAGGTTAAGTCATTTGTTAGGAGGCCAATGAACTAACCTATATTAAGGATAGGCATAGTCATGTTTAACAATTTTTGTATATAATTTGTGAATAGTAATTGTTAAATAAGAGCGTTTTTAATTTTCTTTTCGAACAGTACCACTTTTAAAATTTATTTCTCTAATAGCAAAAAATATTATTTCTCTTTTTCATCATACCATGTAAATTAATTATCTTTTTATATTAAAAATTAAAAATTAATATTAATTTAACTTTTGAAATTTTCATAATTTTATTTTAAATTTAAAAAATATATTTTGATTTAATTTATTAAATATAATTAATTATTTATGAATACTAGATATAAAATGTGAATATAAATTTTAAACAAGATATTTTTTAGGAGTTTTTTTTAAAAGAAAGCATTTTTACAAATTAGCTCTCTTTGTTATCATGTTAAGTAATTTTTTTACATTAGTTATTTACTTTAATTAAATATTATATTTATTTTTGAAATTTTTAAATTTACTTTTAATTTAAAAATTATCTTTTGTTTAATATATTTAATGTAGTAGAATATTTATTATTAATAATTATAATATTTAATTCTTTAGTATAGAAATTACATTTTATATATAATTATTGAGTAATAATTTTTAAATGATTACGTTTTAAGGAAATTTGTTAAACGACAGCCCTTTTAAGAATTGATTGTCTTTATCATTGTGCTAAGTAGTTTCTTATTTAATAAATATTTACCAACTTATATAACTTGTAAATACTAATTTTTGAAGGAACACATTTATTATGCCAATAAATTGTTTTTACATTAAGCATTTGTATTTTAAATTTAATGTTAATTAAAATTTAAAACTTTTCATAACTTTATAATTTAAAAACTTTTATTTTTATTTTATTTATTTATTAAATAATATTTGTTATTATTAGTTATCATATTTAATTTTAAAATTTAAAAAGAAATTCTTAAATTTAAAAGAGATATAAAATATATTTTTATTTATTTATTTATTTATTTTAATTTAATAATATTTATGTATTTTCCAAGAAATTTACTTCTCAACTTTTATATATAATTTATAAGTACAAATTTTTTAGACTTAAACATGTAATTGGTCTCCGTAGATATAGTGAATTTTGTGATAAGTCAGTATAAAGTTTTTTTTTTAAGATTTAGTCCCAAAAATGTTAAAATGTTATAATTTAGTCTTTGTCATCAACATTCCTTATGTTAAGTGTTGGCTAATAAAGAGTCAGTACTTCCTTTGTCACAACCATGTTATTTAATTTTTTAAATATTTTAAGTTTAATTATCTTTTTTTGTCTTTACAAATGTAACAAATTTTGTAATAGGTCCTGATAAAATTTTTTCCTTACTGTCAACTCTTTTTTTTTTTTGTTTGTTTTGAGTGCTCCACTATATAGCTCTATGCATCTATATCAAAATTCTTAACAAGATATAAGTCTTTTAACCCATCGCCAAGATGTTTATTGAACTTTTTAAGTCTCAAGAACAAAGAGAGAAAAGAGACACATGAGAGAAGGAAAAGAAGATGTCGAAAGGGAAGGAGATTAGGATTCAAGGAACCTTTTTTTTATAAATATTTAAAAATATTCAAGAACTTGTTTGTAAATATTAATTTTAAATAATAAAATATTAATAAATTAAATGACTTGACAATAAGTATAAACAATGAGCTACCTCAAAGGGAGTTAACACAAACAAAATCTGAACAAAAAATTTTATAAGAACCTATCATAAAATGTATTATACTTACAGGAACCAAAAAATAATTAAACCTAAAATATTTAAAAAATTAATTTATGTTAGAGTGTTAAACTGACTTTCTACCTACCAGCTTAACACTTAAAAGAAGGAAGTAAAGGTTAACACTAAAAACTGAATTATAACAAAATGCACTATATTTATAGGAATCAATTACATATTGAAGCTAATTTTTTATGATAAAACTTTTAAAAGTTTTGACAAATGAGATTATTTTTAACAGTTTATTCATGTTAAATAATTTGTTTTACATTAAACATTAACATTTTAATTTAATTTAATATATTATATTTTTAATTTAAAATTTATCTTTTTATTTAATTTTATTTAATATAAATAAAATTTTTAATTACTAATTATTTTTAAAAAAATATTTTAATTTAATATTAACCATGCATCAAAAAATTTACCCATGTATATTATTTACACTTTCGCTTGTTATAAGATGCGGCTAATTCTTCTTCTTGATTAAATTCTACTTATGTTTTTCTTTTTATTTAGAACATATATTCTATTTTTTAAAAAGATTAATCAACCTATATATATAATTTATATATTATTCAACACACACAATTACTAGTATAGTATTTTGTTAATATTATAATTATTAATTAATAAGTATTTTTTAAACAGTTTATTACTAGTATTCCTCCACAGTAATCTATTTTGTTCAGGCATAACTTTTACCAAATTTTTTTTACAACTAGTTTAATGCTAAAAGATACGCACATGCATTGAGTAATTAATATAATTATATTTTATAAGCAAATGTACCTAATTTTTTAATACCCTTCATTTCTTTTTTTGATAGAATAAGTATTGTCATGTTAAAACTTGTGCATAGAAATCTATACATATTACCCATACATGGTACTTAAACTTATTTCTTGGAAAAAAGAATTAGAATATGCAGATATTACAGTTGACTAGTTGTGCATATTATTATATATTTTTAACTTAACATAAGGTAAATATATTATAAAATAATTATATTAGATTATAATTTAGATTTAATTAGATATTTATTCATTATAAAAGTTATATAACTTGAATTTGTTTCTTATAAATATTTTATTAAAATATAGTCTTTATTTTTTTCATAAATTATTATTTTTAATCTATCAAACTGATGTAGTTCAACTAAAAGTTAACACTTACTAATAGGTTAATGGATCACATCAGTTAGATAAAATAAAAACAATAATCTAAAAAAAAATTAAGAACTATATTCTAAAAAAATTATAAGATTTAAGTTCAAGTTATGCAATTTTTATTTACACCAATACTTAATTAAGCCTATAATTTAATTATTTATAATACTAAATAAGATTTTTATTTATTAAAAATATTTTACTTATATATTTTTAACTTACTATAAGGTAAAAATATTATTAAGTAATTATATAATATTTTTTTAACTTAATAATTATAACATTGAACAATATTTTTAGTTATTAAAAAATATAATTTTATATTTTTAACTTAATATAAGGTTAGAGTATTATTAATTAATTATATCGTTTAGTTGATTTTTTAAGTTTATAATTTAAGTATTTATAATGTTAAGCAAATTTTTTTATTTATTAATTTTTTAATTGAATATTTTAAATTAATATAAAATAAAATATTATTAAGTAATTGTATAGTATATTATTATTTTCAAGTTTATAATTTAATTATTTATAGTATTAATTAATTAAGAAAATGAAGAAAAAATACAATAAAAGATATTCAAACCTAAAAAAAAAAAACAAGGGCAAAAATGTCTAAAATTGAGGATTTCAGATTTAGGGTGCAAGATTTTAGGGTTATGAAAAGGGTGGAGGTGAGATTAATAAAGGTAATGGTTTTGGATGGTGTAGGTTAGTGTGAGAGAAGGGAAAAAAGGAAGAATGGTAAGAGAGGA